GTAAGGGCCTCATTAAAAGCTACCTAGAAAGCTGCCACGAGTATATGGATGTATTATGACTTAGTGTATGTATACATTTTGTCTATTTGTTTAGCTTTTGTTTCTGGAGACAGGGCCTTGCTTTGTAGTTCAGGCTGGCCTTGAATTTCCTACGTGGCCCAGACTGGCCTCAGCTCACAGCCACCCTCTTCCCTCAGTTTTCAGGATGCCAGGATCCCAGGCACGAGCTACCACACTTGGCAACTACTACTTAGCAAACATTCAGCTGTTCCCTTTGTCTATCTCAAAGAAATTTCCTTGTACTTTTCTCTTAAAACGAAATTTTATTTTCTTGGTTGTTGTGAGGATGAATCCAGGGCCAGTCCACTGGCCTCCATTCCTAGCCTTTTTAAAATTTTGAGACAGAGACTTGCTATATTGCCCAGGCTGCCTCCCACTGTCAATCCTCCTCCCATAACTGGGCTTTCAGGTGTGTGCCACCATGCCAAGTTTACAACATAATTTTTTTTTTTTTTGTCTTTTTCCTTTCTATTGGTACCGGGGATTAAACTCATGACTGCCTGCTTGCAAGGCAGGCGCTTATGCCGCTGAGCTAAATCCCCAGCCCCTCAACATAACTTTTTAACAAGTATTACTAAGAAAATATAAACATGGGAAGTTGCCCTCTCTCATTTCTAAAAAAGTTTAGAAATGCCAAGCTTAGGATCTTGTCTTTTTTCTTTCTTTCTTTAGGAGCTTGTCAGATGGAACAGCAGCAGGAACGGAGGAAACCGGGAAGCCCAGTGTTTTGGATCAAGGCGGCTCAGTCTCAGAATGGGAGAATCCCTAAGGCTGGAGGTACCAGTGGGAGATTTGATTCCATGGCAACTTTGAAGCAGGCCAAGTTGCTGCCCAAAAGGCTGGCTAGCGCTTCAGAAGATCACAACACATTTGCTAAATGGAAGGTTGAAACCAGTTCACAGCTGTGGAACTCAATGTCATGGGGTCGCTCATGGTTTTGAAAAATGGTACCTGAGCTGGACATGGTGGCATGTGCCTTTAATCCTAGCATTTGAGAGGCTGAGACAGGAGGATCTGAGTTCAAGGCCAGCCTGGACTACATGGTGAGACATTTCCCCCTCAAAAATAAAATGTACTAGAATATTACCACGTGTCAGAATGAACCTCATATAGGATGCATTAGTTCATAAAATGTTTTATCTCAAGTATACACAGAAACACAAGTGTGAATACGGAATCACAGCATTAAGTCTATTTCTCATTGCAGCAGTCAAAGCTCCGAAGATATTAGCTAGGAGAATAATATTTTTTGGCCTTCACACCCTTATTCATAACCTCAAACCTTTTGGAAGGGAAGGAGGGGGAAAAGATGTAAAAAGAATTAAAATGTGCTACAGGCTGGGGATATTGCTCAATAGCACAGCAGCTTTCTGGTAAGCACAAGGTCCTGAGTTCGAGTCTTGATACCGCACCAAAAAACTGTGTTATGTACGCGTACCAATACCCTGCAATGAATGAATTCATTAGATACTGCAAACACGTACAAATAAAAGTAAAAATTAAGCTGGGCGTGGTGGCACAGGCCTGTAATCCTAGCTCTCAGGAGACTGAGGCAGGAGGATTGTCCTGAGTTCAAGGCCAGTTTGGACTACAAAGTGAGTTCCAGGTGAGCCTCATCACCACGCCGGGCCTTCTTTCCTTCTTTCTATCTTCCTTTCCTTTTCAATTATGTGAAAGAAATACAAGTGGGTCCCTCAGAGCCACTTTCCTCTCTCAGGGTCCGCAGCACTGGCCGGTTTCTTACTTGCATTCAACAGCTGGACGGGTGGGCTTCGATTTGCATCCAGACAGAGGCACCGTGAATTGAAAACATGGCCTTCAGCTGAAAACACCAGAGCTTAGCAGTGCAGTCCAGCGCAGGGCAGGGCCGGCCCTGTGTCCCTGGCAGGCTACTGAGGAGATGGAGCCCAGCTCCCGCCACTTCGGACATCACACCACACCTGGGAGCGGATCAGGGCCCAGCAGGACAGTTGCTTCGGACTGCTTCTCCCTTGCACACCACACGGTAATGTGAGCAGAATCACTGACAGTTGGGGGCCAGCTGCCTTTACAAGGAAACACAGGCACTCACGTTTCTGTGCAGGACTTTCGTGATAGAAAGAATGGCATAGTGCACACACTACATTCCTATATTTTATTTTATTTATTTATTTATTTTTGTCTTTTTGAGACAGGGTCTCATTATGCCATTCAGGCTGGCCTTGAATTCACTTTGTAGCCCAGGCTGGTCTCAAACTCTCAAAATCCTCCTGCCTTAGCCTCCCGATTACAGACATGTGTCACCATGCCCAGATTACTTTCCTGTACTTTGAAACTTAACACAGAGCTGGGCATGGTGGAGCGCGCCTATAATTCCAGCTCTCAGAAGGCTGAGGCAAGAGGATTGCCTAGAGGTCAAGGCCAGCCTGGGGCTACAAAGTGAGTTCAAGGTCAGCCTGAGCTGCATAACCAGATCCTGTCTGAAAAACTTAAATAAACAAACTTCACGTAGCCAGATCTTGCTATACTGTTGTATTGGTTGCACGATGTCCCTTGAGTCTGAATATTTTTAGAAATCAGCTGATTCCAGCCCTGAAATTACAGTTCCTTTTGTTTTCTTTAAATGAATTTGAGTTTTAAAAGTGATGGCAGTGAGCTTATGTAAAAGGATAAACCCTTTTCCAATTATTTAGTAATTAGGGAGTAGGAGCATGCAAGGAGTGGATGCGTTGGGGCTTGCAAGTAATACCCAAGCCAATTTAAGAGTCTACCTATTTAAAAAAAAAACAAAAAACTGGTTTTTACCAATCAAGTGCATTGCAGAGTCTCTTAAGGATAAGTCACTGCACACACAGTCCTGATGTGTGCCCTCCCTCTGTCCCTCCTCAGGAAGGGCAGTGGTCCCTGTCTTTGGTGCCAGATGATTGGCTACTTCTGCCCAGACGGAAGTCTATTTGGGCTGATGCAGGTATGAGCCCAAGGACAGCCAATGCCCAGGCTGCTCAGTGATTTATGAGCTGGCAGGGCACAAAAATATCTGGCCAAACAGGAACCAGGCTGACCAGGCTGACCTGTCCCATCCCCATTTGGGATGAATCAGCTCTTTAAGGAAAAGATTTGAAGTGAAAGGGGATAAAGGATATTTGAGAGGAGGGATGAGCCTGAATATGAAAGAACAGAAACAGCATTTAGAGCTAGGAGGTAGAGAAAAGATACTATAAAAAGAAAATAAGGCGGTCCATTTCCAGCAACACAGTAGATTCGATAACCGGAAACACCCCAACCCCACCGCAAAAACGCCTGGAAATTCTGGGTAAGAGATAACAATTATTATTTCAAATGAAAAACTGAGTTTACAGAAAGAAGGGAAATCCCCAGATGCCAAAAAAACAAAAATAGAACTGAAAACCACGCCAGTAAATGTGAACGGAAGCTGCCAGAAGAGGAGTTCTCAGAAAACCAGGTCTTGGGTGGTAATGCAAATACAAGACCCAGAAATGAGGCACTGGGCTCACACAGCCCGAAATTACAGCAGAGAAACGAGCCTCCTGGAGCCAGGAGCCAACAGATCCAGCAAAGGAGGGGGGTGAGACCCTGGAGCTTCAGTGTGTGTGTGTTCACGCACGTGTGTGTGTCTGGTTTGCACTTCCATCCTCCTGCCTCAGCCTCTCAGAGTGCTGGGAATACAGGCATGCACCACCATGCCCAGATACCACCCCATTTCCTCCGAAACAAGGTTTAATTAGAAAATAGACCCCAGCATAATTTCTTTCAAGGTTGCTTAAAATATACACCCTACTCCAAAATAAACCCCAGGCAAGACCATCAGCCAGATGGGTACATTGAGTGTGTCCCTTGCAACACATGACATACGGGGTGAATTATGACAGTGTTGCAGGAGAGAACATGACTGTATCTGAATATAGATTGTTGTATATGAAAACAGTAATACATCCCCTGAAAAGAAGCCCTATTTGCATCTTTGAGAGTAAAAATTACTGTAATACCTAAGATCTATTCTTTTTTTTTTTTTTTTTTTTTTTTTTTTTGTCTTTTTGAAACAAGGTCTCTCTATGCAGTTCAGGTTGACCTTGAGCTCACTTTGTAGCCTAGGCTGGTCTTGAACTCACAAGGATCCTCCTGCCTCAGCCTCCCGAGTGCTGGGATTACAGGCCTGTGCCATTAAGCCCAACAAGACCTGTTTTTATTTTGGGAGGAAACTGTCATTTGGGTCTAAGCACTCATCAGTAGGCGGTCATTTGGACAGTTTCCACTTTGTGGCTGTACCCTCAAACTTCAGATGTACAATGTTTGGATAATGAGCACCGAGGAGAGGCTGAGGATGCTGCTCAGGGGCAAAGCACTCGCCTCACACGTAGGAGGCTCTGGGTTTCATCTGTAGCACACAAGGAGGAAAAGAGGAGGGAGGAGGGGAAGAAGAAAGAGTGGGGAGGAGGAGGAGAGGAAGAGGAAAAACAGGAGGGGGTGGCCCTTAACCATGCCCTTGAGACCTCTATCCTGGCGGTTGTCGACCCCTACACTGGACGAAGGCCCAGGTGACTTCCTATGAGGACCCTGAGCACTGCCCACCCCTTCCTGGGTAGACAGTTATCTCTTGCAACCAGAAGCTGTGAACTAACAGAGACCACAATATACTCTGAGATACTGTGTAAGACGCAGCCTCTTTGGAAAACAACTTAGCAATTCCTAAACAGGTTAAACTCAGAGGTGCAGCATGGCCAAAAGTTCTCCTCCTAGGCAGGTACCAAGCAAGCTGGAGCACAGGCCCACGCAAAACATGTACAGGAATGTTCCAGGCAGCACACTTTTTTTTTTTTGGTATCAGGGATCAAACTCACAACCTCAGACTTGCCAGGCAGGTGCTTGTGCCGCTGAGCTAAATCTATGCCCCTATTTTGGTCTTTTTAAAGACAGGATTTCATTATATGGTTCAGGCTCACCTTGAACTTACTCTGTAGTCCAGGCTGGCCTCAAACTTCCAGCAATCCTCCTGCGATCCCCTTGCCTCAGCCTTCGGAGTGCTGAGATTACAGGCGTGCACCACCGCACCCACAATGGTCAACACTCTTTATTCTAAGAGTAAAAAATGTGAAAAGGACACCAGTGTCCCTGAGCTGATTAGTAGATAAGCAAAATGTAATATATGCAGAGGCTGGAGGTAGAACTCAAGAGTAGAATGCTCGTCTGATCTGCACAAAGTCCCGGATTCAAAAACCCCACCTGCACAGGAAACATCACAAAGAATCGACATCCGGGGTCTGGTCTTATTAAAAAGCTTTTGCACAGTAAAGGAAACCACCCACAGAGTGAAGAGACAACCCACAGCACGGGGGAAAAAAATTGCCAGCTGTTCCTCAGACAGAGGATTGCTATCTAAAATAGATAAAGAACTCAAAAAGAAATTTAAAGACCCAATCCAAAAATGGGCATGTGAAATGAATAGACGCTTCTCAGATAAACTAGAAACAGAAAATAAATATATGAAAAAATATTCAACATCCTTGGTCTTTCAACAGAAGCAAATTCAAGCAACGCTGTGCTCTAGGTGAATGATTTGGGGATGACAATGAAAAACCTATGTACTATTGTTGCCCCCTGCAAAAAAATGAAAAAATTAAAAAGATAAAGAAATGGTGAGATTCCATCTCATCGCAGAAGGAATGGCTATTATCAAAAAATCAACCAGTAACAAATGCTGGAGGGACTGTGGGGGGAAAGGACCCCTTCTCCACTGGTGGTGGGAGTGTAGACTGTGGAAATCACTGTGAGTCCTCAAAAAACTAAAATTAGTGGTTCAGTTCAATCTAGCTATTCCCCTTTTTGTACCCTCCCTAGAATTAAAAGCATCATACTATACGGGGGCACAGTTTCTAGTAGCTAAATGTTGCAAACAGTCCAAAGGTCCATCACCCAACGAATGGATAAAGATGTGGTTTCTTTATGCAAGGGATGTGGGGAACCACCTGGACTACTCTCCTTCAAAGAGGAGTGATAATCTCCATTTTGGATAAACCTGGCCCTCTCTCCTTGTATTGCTAGGTACAGAGCCAGCCAGGCTATTTGTACTTTCAACTAGCTTTAAGCATGTAAATTAGGGCTGGGGATTTAGCTCAGCGGTATAAGTGCCTGCCTTGCAAGTGTGTGTTCGTGATTTCGATCCCACTGGAACCGACAAGAAAGAAAAAGGAAAAAAAAAAAAAAAAAAGCATGTAAATTGGGCTGGCTGAGGAGCTGATGTGTAATCTCTGAAGCTAAGTGACAGAGGCTGTTTCCCCTCTCAGTGACTCCCAGAAAAACCTGGTTGAGCCAGGCGGGATGAAGAGCTGAGCCCCCCATGGTGGGCTGGGGCCAAGCCTGGAGAAAAGAGGCTGCGACTTCCCAGGGCAGAAAAGATTGTACATCAGAGCTGAAGCACCAGCCCCAAAATGTTAGACACTACCTCAGTGGTGCTGTACAGAGTAATCGCTCTGCATTTCTTTCCCTCTGCATATCCAGAGGTGATCTCAGGCCTCCTCCCCAGCTCACAACTCTCACAGATTTCCCACCCACTCTCACTGTCCCTTCTCTGGAGCTGTCCCCTCATGGAGAATTCATAAAACCCGTGTTCGGCCCTGGCTCATGGTCTTTGTTCTGGTGAGCCACCATCTTGGCTGGACGTAGGACCCCTTGGCCCCCCATAACTATACCTGTGTCTTAGTGTCTTTATTGCACCAGAAGTGGTAGATTGGAATTAACTAATTGGAATTCTGATAACATTTTCATGGGATTACAAATATAAACTTCCCAAAGTTAGAGGAGGACCACGAAGGACTCTCTATAAATGGTGTACTGCTCTGCCATAAAGACATTACTAGCTAAATGGATGCACCTATAAGACTATACTGCTAAGTGAAATAAATCAAATGTACATGTTTAAATCTTGCATGGCAGTCAGGTGTGGTGGCGCACAGCATTCAGGAGTGTGTAATCCCAGCATTCAGGAGGCTGAGGCAGGAGGATCGCCAGCAGTTCATAGCCAGCCTGAGCTACATAGTAAGTCCAAGACCAGCCTGAAGTACCTAATGAGACCCTGTCTCAAAATACAACAAAAACTTGCATGGTTTCTCTGGTAAAGAAACTGAAAGTGTAAATAAGGACCAAAAGATATAATAGATAAGGTAAAATATTAAGAAAATGTTCAAATGAGGTGGGGGATAAGGGAGGGGGAGGAAGAAAGGAAAGAAGAGATGGGAAAAAAAGAACAGAAGGAAAAAATGGAAGCAAAGTTTTTATAAATATGGAGGGGAGGGGCTGGGGATTTAGCTCAGTGGCATATGCACCTGCCTCGCAAGCAGGCAGTCATGAGTTCGATCCCTGGTACCGATAAAAAAGAAAAAGACAAAAAAAAAAAAAAAATATGAAGGGGAACAGAAGTTGAAGGAAGGGGAGGGGAATTGAAAAAAATCAAGATATATCATGTACAGGTCAAATTTTCTATAATGAATATTATCATTATGTATATCTACAATGTACCAATAAAGCTGGGTGTGGTAGCGCACCCCTATAATCTCAGCACTCAGGAGGCTGAAGCAGGAGGATCATTGCAAGTTTGAGACCAGCCTGGGCTACAAAGTAAGCTCAAGGCCAGTCTGAACTGCATAGTAAAACCTTATCTCAAAAAAGTCAATAAATGCGTAAATAAAATGTACTTCCCCCCCAAAAAAAAAAAGAAAAAAACGTTAGTTCTGGCAAGGTCTAAAAAAAAGTTCCTGGACTCAATCTTCACAACAACAACAAAAAGCCACACCTGTATGCTTTAACTGAGTGACTTGTGAATTGTATGTACCTTATAGAAAGCTATTCTCAGAGCCAGAGGTGCCACTACCGGTAGAGTGTGTGCTTAGTATACATAAGGCCCTGGGTTCTGGTGTACGTACACACACACACAGGCACCCACTCTCACACACACACACACACACACAGCTATTTTTGTTGTTGTTGTTTTTTGTTTTTTGTTTTTTGGTCTTTTTCCTTTTTATCGGTACCAGGGACCAAACTCACGACTGCCTGCTTGCAAGGCAGGAGCTTATGCCGCTGAGCTAAATCCCCAGCCCCTGTTTGTACTTTTTTGAGACAGGCTCTCACTATGTAGCTCATTGGCCTCAGCCTTGTAGGAATCTTCTTGCCTCAGTCTCCCCATTTTCCCCCCTCTTTTTTCTTTTTTGTCCTTTTTTGAGGGTCTTGCTGCCCTCAAGCTCACTATGTAGCCCAGACTGGTCTCAAACTTGCAAGCTCCTCTTGCCTCAGCCTCCTGAGTGCTGGGATTACAGGCATGCACCACACCTGATTAGCCTCCCAAATTTTGGGATTACAGGTATGCATTGCCATGCTCACCTTTCAAAACTGTTACTTAAAACATAGGACACACACACACAAAAGAAGAAAAGGGTCAAAAATCAATGGCCATGATGAAAACGCATGGAATATATGATAACTACACAGGAAGGCAGTGCCCAGTCATGTGCCATCCCTTGAGTCACACTATGTGCCAGGCCCTGTCCTGAGCAGCTGCTGACCCAGTGCCTATTATCAAAACTTATAGCCCAAAAAAGAAAAAAAAAGCCTTATGATCTAAAGACAAAAAGTTTCCAAAGGAATGACCTGGAAAATTCCATGACCTATTCTGGGCCTCAGTTTCGCCATTTATAAAGTCAGCATTTAAATTCAATGTTTCTCCAAGAACAGTTGAGGTAATTTTTGGTAACAGGCACTAAAGAGTGCTATGAAAAAAAATCACCGTTTTCAGCCTTCTGCCAATTCTTCTCCCTCTGGTGGGAGGTCGCAGCGCGGGGCCACCTTTTGGAAGTGAGGCAGCCCTGAACCCCGAAGTTCTGCAGGATGTGATCATGTCATCTCACCATGTAGCTGTGCTTTTGTTTACGAGCTACAGTAAGTCCCAACTTCAGAGACAGGACCGGGCGCCGCATTGGGGAGATTCACAGATGTGCACAAAGGGTGGAACAGCTCACCCATCTGCCCGACACCGTCACAGCCGTGCCCGTGCCGCTGGGTGCTTGTGGTACAGTGTGACAGCCTGCAGTAGTCGCGCCCAGGGTGACCAGAAGCAGTGGCGACACGGAGGGCACGCTGGGGAGCATAAAGCAATAACTGTGCAGTTGTGTATTTGTGTCAAAGGTGTGTCAGGCTCATTTTGCTGGACTTGTGAACAAATCCAACTTACAGATGTTCTCCCGGAACAGAACTCCTGCTAAGCTGAGGCCTGAACTGTCTCTTCCCAACCTCTTGTTTCATTTTTCATTTTGAGACAGGGTCCTGCCTAGTCTGACCTAGAACTTGAGGTCCTCCTGCTTCGGCATCCCAGAGTGCTGAATTTACAGCACTGGATTTACCACATCCAGCTTTCTCTTTTCATTTTGTTCTGTCCTGCCTCCTGTCTGTCTCTGTCTCTGTCTCTCTGTCTTTGTCTCTCTCTGTACTAGGGAATGGATTCAGATAACCACTCAGCCACCACGCTACATCCCCAGATCTTTTTAAATTTTTCACGTTTTTATTTTTAGAGATAGAGTCTCACTAATTAGTCCAGGTTGGCCTTAAATTTACTAAGTATCTTATGCTAGTCTCACACTTGAGATCTCCCAGTTGCTGGAATTATAAAAGTGTGCCCAAGTGCCCATCTTTTCTTTCTTTCTTTCTTTCTTTCTTTCTTTCTTTCTTTCTTTCTTTCTTTCTTTCTTTCTTTTTTTTTGTCTTTTTGAGACAGGGTCTCACTATGCATTTCAGGCTGGCCTTGAGCTCACTGTGTAGCCCAGGCTGGTCTCAAACTCACAACGATCCTCCTGCCTCAGCCTCCCCGGTGCTGGGATTCCAGGGGTGCACCACCACACTCAGCTCCAACATGCCCATTTTAAAACTTACCTTACTTGAGACAGGTGTTGCTATAACTCAGGCTAGCCTGCAGCTTGGCACTCTCCCGCCTCAGCCTCCTGAATAGTTGGGATTACAGGCCTTCATCACTGCTTTTACTCTTCCTTTCCATTTATGGCTGGGGACACAGGTTGCTCATACCATGTCAACCTGGGACAACAGGTTTCCTTTCTTTCTTTTTTTTTTTTTTAAGGGACTTTTTTTTTTTTTTTTTTTTTGGTACTATCCATTGAATTCAGGTCTCAGGTTTGCTA